CCACCGCCGTCACCCGCACGTGGACCTTGTCCCCGGAGCTGAGGTTTGGGATCGTGTAGCGGGTGGAAAGGAAAGGCTCCTGGTTCACAGCTTTCCACTCAGAACCTGGGATGGACCCAGCACAGAACTTCAGGTGTGCCAGGGACAGACAGACAGACAGACAGACACCCCCCCAGACAGCAGAAGCCCCCCAGGAGTGATCCAAAGAACCCCTTCCTGGGAAAGATGGAATGATTTGGGGCAGCAGCGGGAATAGGGACCTTAGAGGGGAGGTCGGGCACCCTCTGCCAAGGAGTGGGGGGGGTGAAGAGCTGGGTGTGAAGTGTTGGGGATGAAGTGTTGGGGATGAAGTCCTGGGTAAGTCCTGGGTATGAAGAGCTGGGGATGAAGTGTTGGGTTATGAATTGCAGGGTATGAAGAGCTGAGTATGAAGTTCTGGGTGTGAAGAGCTAGTTATGAAGTACTGGTTTATGAAGTGTTGGGTAAGTGCTGAGTAAGAAGTGCTGGGTATGAAATGCTGGGGTATGAAGTGTTGGGAATGAAGTGTTGGGGTATGAACTGCTGGGTATGAAGGGCTGGGTATGAAGTCCTGAGTAAGTCCTGGGTATGAAGAGCTGGGTATGAAGCACTGGTTTATGAGGGGTTATGAAGTTCGGGGTATGAAGTGTTGGGTAAGTCCTGGGTATAAAATGCTGGGTATGAAGTGCTGGGTAAGAAGAGCTGGATATGAAGTGTTGGATCTGAAGAGCTGCGTATGAAATGCTGGGGTATGAAGTGTTGGGGAGTGTGAAGTGTTGGGAATTAAGTTCTGAGATATGAAGTGTTGGGATATGAACTGCTGGGGTATGAAGTGTTGGGTATGAAGGGCTGTGTATGAAGTTCTGGGTAAGTCCTGGAAATGAAGAGCTGGTTATGAAGTCCTGGTTTATGAAGCGTTGGGTTATGAAGTTCGGGGTATGAAGTGTTGGAGCGTGAAGTGTTGGGTAAGTCCTGGGTATGAAGTTCTGGCTATGAAATGTTGGGTTATGAATTGCTGAGTATAAATTGCTGGGTAAGAAAAGCTGGATATGAAGTGTTGGGTCTGAAGAGCTGCTTATGAAATGCTGGGGTATGAAGTGTTGGGGAGTGTGAAGTGTTGGGGATGAAGTTCTGGGATATGAAGTGTTGGGTATGAAGAGCTGGGTATGAAGTCCATGTATGAAGTCCTGGGTATGAAGACCTGGATGTGAAGTGTTGGGGTGTGAAGTGTTGGGTAAGTCCTGGATATGAAGAGCTGGTAACGAAGTCCTGGTTTATGAAGTGCTGGGTTATGAAGTTCTGGGTATGAAGTGTTGGGTAAGTCCTGGGTATGAAGTGTTGGGTAAGAAGTGCTGGCTATGAAGTGCTGGGTATGAGGTACTGGGTTATGAATTGCTGGGTATGAAGAGCTGGAAATGAAGTTCAGGGTATGAAGAGCTGGTAGAAGCTCAGCAGTGGAGCAGGAGGTTGTTTGCAGACAAGAAAAGGCATCACAGTCCAGCAAACCTTATCCTTGCTGACCACAGGTGTTTCTGAAAGCAAAAATCCTTTGACCCTCTCCTGCCAGTCTGCCCCTCTCACTGCCCCGGGGCAACACTGGGGCTCCCCATGTTCCCCAGCATGTCCTGCCCTCCAGGCAAGATGCCACCAGCCCCATGGACCTGTTCATGCCAAGCCACCTTCAAACCAAGGAGATTTTCCTGTCACTGCCAAATACCACCAGGGGCTCTTTCCCTTCACCACTGGCTTCCTGCTTGGAAGGGGCATCTCAAACCCACCCCACAGCCAAGGGGTAGAACCCCCATCCCCCAGCTGACACAGCTTTGCCTCATGCCAAACCTCTGAGGAGGTTCCTCAGCTGGAAAACGAACTGCCCCCATCACCAGAGGCCTGGGTGTCCCTAAAGTGACCCCCGTGTGCCAGGAGTTACCCCTTCAGAGCAGGAAGGTTTTCCCTGTCAGTGCCATCAGAGCAGCCAAATCCCCCCAGCTCCTCTTTCCCCTCACGGCTGGCAGTGCCCAGCCCAGCCCTCACTCAAACCTCACCAGGTTTTACCCACCCAGGGCCGTGCCCCAGCCCGAGCACAGCAGTCACGGAGCCCCCGTAGTGGTCACAGCGTGGCTGGAGCTCTCCTGCCACCCAGGCAGGCCCAGCAGAGCTCCCAAACTGTGCCCTCTGGGTGGCTGCCACCCAGCTCCCTCCAGGAACTGCTGCACCTTTGCCTGTGCCACAGAAGGGCCTGCTCGTGGCTGTCCCCTGTCCCCAGCCCAGTGATGGGAGCCAAGAATGTGCCAAGAACATGCTGACCGTGTGTGCCACGAGCTGAACAGCCAAGGATCGAGTTCCCCGAGGCCCTCGGACCACCTGGGTCCCCCAAACCCCTCCAGGCTCCTGCAGCCCCAGCCCACCAGCCCCAGCCTCCCCCTGCAGATCCCACCAGACACGTGGGTCACCCACTGTCACCCCAAAGCCCAGCAGGGCTTCAAGAGAGGTCCCAAAACACGAGTCTTCCCCACCCTCCATTCCACAGGCCAGCCATGCAACCAGAGACCCACAGACCATCACTGCCACCCCCCAGCCCCCTCCACTCACCCACCCACCCTCCTGCAGGGCTGCCGACACATTCCAGCCCCTCTCGCCCTGCCCAGGATCCTTTCCTCCCTCATCCTCCCACCCCATCCCCATTCCTTCCCTGCTTCTCTTTAGGCAAACATGGTAGCATTGAGCTTCTTCCTCCTGTTTTCTTGGATCACCATCCCAATCCCAGGTCTCTGCAGAGCTGGAGCTCACCAGGGACCATCCTCAGAGGGCAGGCTGGTCCCTCCTCCACCCTCCAGCTGGACACAGCAGTGACATTACACCCCCCGCCAGAGACATCCCAACTATCTGAAGCCAACAGGAAGCCCCACTTCTCCATGGGGAAAAAAAAATAAAATAACAATTTAAAATGAACCAATTCGGGCAAAGAAAGGGAGTTGGTGCCCTGGGAAACGCGTGTTCAGCTCCACCCCACACCGGCACAACGCACCCCACCCCCCCGTGCTCAGGGGCAGGAAAGCCCGGTCCTACTTCCATCCTTGCAGATCTCCACCAGGTATCCATCCAGGCCCGCCTTGCCCGTGTGCTCCGGGGCTTTCCAGGTCAGCGTGAAGGAATTCTCTCTCACCTCCTCCACGGCCAAGGACAGGGGGGAGCTGGGAGGCTCTGGAACAAACCGGGGGGTGAGGGCAGGCTCTGCCCCAGGACAGTCCCTCACCCTCAGCCCACCCACCCTCCTGATCCTCAGCAAAACCCCCTGGATGGCTTCACCCCTCCGTGCCTTC